TGACAGTGTGCTTAATGCATCGTTCATGCGGTCGCACAAAGTTTGAGGGAATTTACTCGAGAAGGAGATGGTCACGTCATCCGCATAAGCCACCGCGCGGCATCCCCCTATTCCATCCAAGGATCGTAGGAGTGTATTGACCGCCACGTTCCATAGGAAGGGTGAGAGGACGCCGCCCTGAGGCGTTCCGCTACTTACATATCTGGATATCGTGGACAGCCCCAGTGTAGACTTGATGGACCGCCTGGTGAGAAGCTGTCTTACTAGTTCTATAATGGAATTGTCCATCCCCAGGTTTGTAAGTGAGCTTGTGATGGCCCTAGGAGACACATTGTTGAAAGCACCTTCTATGACCAAGAAGGCGATAAGGATGTAGTGTTTGGTATTGAGGGCTTTTTCGATGGCCGAAGTCACATCATGGATTGCCGTTTCTGTGGATCTGCTTTTACAGTAGGCGTGTTGAGAGCATGACAGCTCTGTACTCTGACAGGCTTTGTCTGTATGCATACCAGCGTTGCTCTCCCCCTTGGGATCTGGCTGCGTTGAAGAGTGTCTTGGCGTTTTTTCTTCACTCACTGACATGTGGAGGAAGGCTTGAGTTTGACCCTTAGTTTCCCAAATGGGGCACGATTTCTTTAGCGTGATGTCACATGCTGCAGTGAATTTGTTTATTAGCGTCGAGATGAATTCGACTGTGTTTGTGCGTCTAGGATTTCTAGTCGCGATTGGTCTTTCGTTCTTTAGAGATACTTCGAATTGAATGTATCTGTGGTCTGAGAAGGAGTGTCCCGGTAGAACTCTGAACTTGGATATACGATTGTAAAGAGCGTCTTACGTCAAAGTGAGGTCAAGAACCAGGCTCCGGTTCCTTATCACCAAAGTTGGATCTGATCCGACTTTACATAAGAGTATATTAGTAGTTAAAAATGGACTCACCCCGTAAGTTAGTGTCGGTGCTGCCCCACTGAGCGTTGGCGTCGCATCCTATGAGCAGATCTATATTTTTCTGCCAGCTGTCATCTATGATCTGCCTTGTTAGCACAGGCGGAGGATTAGCTTCTTTGTAAGCCATGTAGGCGGAGAATATGAGAATATGCTTTGGCTTAGCCTCAATGCATGCCGCTGTGTTATCTCCATCACTGAAATTGGATAGCAGAAAAATGTTTATGTTTTTCTTCGTTAGAATTCAGGTTCTGGTCTTGCCTGTGCTTTTAGCTGTAATCAGCTTATAGTCCTTCGTTCCCAATCCAGAAACCTTGCCTCTACAAACCCAAGGTTCCTGTATGATGACTACATCAATCTCGTATTTACTCAAACGATGTAGTAGGGCAGCTGCAGTGGTGCGGATTATTCTGTAGAGACCTCAAGGGCACCTACATCCATCTCCACCACTGTCCTGTCGGCCTCATCGTCGTCTAGGATGAGATCCTCAACGTCGTGGCTTAGTGTAGCGAGTCCCTTCGCGAGCTCGGTGGTTTAAGAGGAATATTCCTCAAGGATATCCTCTTTGCCCGACGCCCGAACCTTATTGATCACTAGTACGATCTGGCGCGTGGTCCCTTCCGCCTCCTCTACCTTGACCACGCTCCAGTCGTCAGTTTTCAAATTTGTGTTGCAAATCTGAAACACCTTCAAGATCTCATCTGGCTTCTCTGGTTTGGCCGCAACCCTGACCTTGGCACGCAACTAATTTAGCACCTGGATACACTTATTCAAGCGCTGCAATTGATTTTTTATATGCCTCGGCGGATCGCTTTTCATGACAAGCAATGGCCTTTACTCTGCCTTTATGCCATCCTGCATCGTCGCATATCGGTGGTCGTCCTCCACTCGTTGCCAGGTCCGTCAGAAAACGACCTTGCAGCTTATTTTCGACTCCTGCCCATCTGTGTCTCGGGATAAGACCATCTTTTCTGCCCATGTCTAGGATACCAATGATTATCTTATCCTTCGTCAATTCTGCGAAGGTTCAATTCTACCATCCTTGGACCATCTGGTGACGACTCGGGGGCAGTATGGTTCTTTTGCAGTATGTCTGCTGCGCGTCTCTCATCTAGAAGCGACGTTTTTGTTCGCCGAAGTACCTCGCTCTGTAGAGTTATCAGCCACCTCCCCTTCGACTACCGGCTTTGCAACTCGGATTAGCTGCTTCGTCTTCGAAGTGGAGGGGGTCTGATGCTCTCCAGATTCTGAGACAACTGATTGGCTCGTCAGATTGTCTCCACATGCACTGGCAGCAATGGGATTTGAGGTCCCGTCCGGCTTATGGCGAGATCCGGCCTCATTGTTTTGTTTTGTTTGTTTGTTTTTTGTTGTTTTAATAAAAGGTTTCATGTTGGGGCCACGAATAGTTGGTCCCACGAGTAGTCACCAGTTTCATAGCCCGGATACCACGGGACGCCTGACTTAAACTGGAGATCGGCAGGTATCCAGAGTTCGCATAGTAGAGACTTAGCTGCCCCTCAGCCACGCATCCATCGGCCTAAGCTGTTTCGCCTTGGATTGGGGAAAATTTTAGAGAATTTTCAGCTCTTGCCCGACTACCATTAGTCAGCACCACCTGGCAGAGACATGACCGTGCCTGGGGCCTGCTTCCAGCCACCCTCGTAAGGAGAGTATAGTCGCACTACCAGTGGTGTATCACAATTACGGCGCGTACCACCTGGCTTGGTGTTTACACGTAATCCCCTTGTGATACCCATTGGCTGACGGCCTTAGTATAGTTTAGTTGGTGTTAGTTTACTATTCTATTATATTAATTTATGTTATATTTTTTATTATTATTCGAAATGAAAATTATTAATGTTGCTTAAATTAGGCATCAACACTTTGATATAGTCTGGATAGATTGGTAAATTCCACGATGCCTTGACCCACAGTAATGAACATTTAGATAGGGTCGAAGACGAAGCGATACTCTGTGCTATTTGTGTAGAAACTGTTGAGTACCGATCCCAACTGGTAACCTCAAGCTGTGGACACTATTTTCATTGCTCCTGTTTTGCTACTAAAGCTACTAAGCCACTAAGGGCCTATAACCAGGAGTAGAAGGAGAAATATCGAGACTTTCACCACAGAAACCGTTTCCGTTCCAAATAATGTGACAAATTCATATGCTAGGGATGATACAGCGTCAGTCAATTCTCAAAACTTAATAGCAGCCAACCTGCAACAAGCAATTGGAGATTCAATTGCATCGGTGTTAGCACAACATACTCAGCGTTTAACACAAACAATAGAAGAAGGTTTTCAGAAATTATGTGTTCAAACTAATGCGCCTGCAGCTACCACCAATGGTGCACATATTGTAAATAGGCCAACAGTAGCTACAATGGAGCAACAACATTTGGGTTATTTGGAGTACCACCTCGTGTTTCGTTAGGAAATCATCAAAAGAGTGGCCCATTAAATAGTAATAATAATAGAATAAGTCAAATTTTAGCTAACTGGAAATTGAGATTTTCAGGTCGGTCCACCAGTAGATGATTTTATATACATATTGTAGGCCCAATGGACAAAGGTGCCTCAATTAGTTGCATTGGAGGAAAATTCGCTGCCGAATTAGTTACAGACGAAGTGAAGTATAAGCCAATTACGTCAAGGATCGACGCAAGTTTGAGTGGATAGACGTTGCGAAAAATGCATTTGAACAGTAAAAAATACTTCTTTGTGAAGCCCCTGTTTTGCATAGCCCAAATTTCCCAGTACCATTTGCAATTCATTGCGATGCTAGCCGTACGCGAGTTGGTGTCGTACTGATACAAACGGATGAAAAGGGTAATGAAGTTCCCATAGCTTTCATGTCGCGGAAACTGAATAAGTGCCAAAGAAATTATTCGGTAACTGAGAAAGAATTTTTAGCAGCCATTATGTGCGTAAAAAGTTTAGAGCTTATGTAGAAGGCCATGAATTTTCAATTTACACAGATCATGCGCCCCTAAAGTGGCTTATGTCTCAGGCCGATCTAAGTTCTAGATTAGCGCGGTGGGATTTTCTTTTAAAATTTTCCACCGGAAAGAAAGTCAGAATATTGTACCAGATGCTCTATTTCGGGTTCATACGGAAGATTTGGCATTCATCAGTGAACAAAAGCTGGTAGACTTCAACTCTGAACATTTTGATTCGCCGGAGTACAAAGAACTTAAAGACAAAATTCAATCCCAACAGACACAGTTTCCGGATGTAAAAGTCAGGCGAGCAAATAGTTGACCATTTATGTTGGAAACTTTGGGTTCCCTAGGGTGTTACACCAGTAATCCTCAAACAGAATCATGGGCACCCATTAGCATCGCACAATGGCATTACGGATTGGGATTGGGATCGTTCATTACGACCTCCATTAGGACCTACTAAAAATACTGGGGGGGTTTTATCAAAAAATTTTTATTGACTTTTTGGGTCCCTATCCTCGTAGCCGATCGGGTAGTATAGGTATTTTTGTTGTACTTGACCATTTGTCGAAATTTCTTTTTTTGAAGGCAGTAAAGAAGTTTACAGCAGATGCCATAATTCCGTTTTTAGAAAAGGATCTCTTCCACTGTTTCGGTGGTAGTATCCGATAATTGCGTACAAATTAAAACCTGCCAGTTTAATTTTTTGTTACAAAAGTACGATGTACAGCATTTTTATACTCTGTACATAAAATGTACATTAGTATATTAGATTTCCGGGAGCTAAAAAATGTAACAGGCAGAAGGACGCGTGGAGACCCCACAAAGTACAGAGTGCGCCATCTTTTATGTCGGTATGCAACCATTGAATTTCCTTGAGAATAAAGAATCGGTTTTTAAGTATGAGATATTTTTATACCCTGTACCCAAAGGGTGAAAGGGTATACTAGTTTTGTGCGAATGTATGTAACAGGCAGAAGAAGGCGTGGCAGACCCCACAAAGTATATATATTCTTGATCAGGATGAGAGTTAGTAATTATATATTCGTATACCAAGTTGCATTATGATAGGTTAATCAAAAAGAAAGTTATAGCCATATAACTATGCCCAATGCACACATACATACATATGTACAAGTACACAAACACGCATAGACACGATTCTGATGTAAATGTAAATGTATGTATGCATGTATGAGATTGATGAGATTGAGTATACAAGGCAAAGTGACTGATTGCATTCAACTTGGTGAATGCCAGCATGATCCTTGTCAATACTCTCTCTAAGTTGACGCACTACCTCCACTTGGTTCCTCATGGATTGTCACGTAACACCCATTGGGTGGCAAACTAAAGTGCGCGGCGGGTTCCCTAGAACCGTAATCTAGGTTGTGGCGTAGGACTTGAGATCCACCCACATAAAAACCCTAATTCAATGAAAGATGCAAGATGAGCCCCGGATAGGATTCAAAACAAAGTTGACGACCATGGCAAACGTAAAAAGGACAATGATTTGAGAGTATGCACCTGGAATGTACGAACATTGTACAGGCCTGGTGCCGCTCAACAACTATCGGATGCTCTCGAAAAATGTAAGGCTGACATTACTGCTATCCAGGAAATGCGATTGATAGGCCAGGGCTGCATAAAGAAAAACAAATGTGACATATACTACAGCTGCCACCCGCAACGGCATGAGTTTGGTTGTGGCTTCGTTGTTGGCGCTCAGTTACGACGCCGTGTCTGTCACTTTCAGCCAATAAACGAGAGACTGGCAACGATCCGAATTACTGCCAAATTCTTTAACATCAGCCTTATCTGTGCGCACGCCCCCACTGAAGAAAAGGACGACGGGACCAAAGATGCCTGTTGACGTGGCAGCACTGCTAGTAGCCTGCATGGCAGGCTGGCAACGTTTGCTAGCAACATTCGCTAGCAACATCTGCTAGCACAGCGCGGCTGACGTCAGCGCCCTCTCTCTCCCACACGCTAGTTAAGCTCCAGAGCGCTGTAACTAGGTTAAGTTAGTTACAAATTGTCTTTATATGAAGTGAATACATACGTGCAGAAGAGCACTTTGAAACCTGAAAATCCCGCCATTTTGTTCTTGTACTGGAGTTTGGACATTTTATCCCCGACGCCCCCCGACTTTTACATGGTCCTTCGAGCCGGATACTTTTGAGGCACCTCCATCCATACTCATCCTCGTTTTGTGCCAGCCATCCGTTCGCCCCAGCTTGTTCCTGGCGTTGGACTCCTATAAGGGAAAACAGCTAAGTAAAAAGTTACTTTTGGCTCAGTACTTACGCCATATTGGTTTTTTCTGTCGGTCTGTCCGCCGACTTCCAAAAACGGAATCCGCATCCCGCTTTCCGTCCCTGATCCAAGGGCCCCATTCGTATACGGCTGATACCGCGCCGGTCAGCTCAACCAAAAATACATAAAGTGCACGAATTAGCAGTATAGAACCAATCTGTCCGTTCGCGATTGCATACCGGCATACTTGGGACGTGTTCATTCATATGTGCAACAAGTGTCCAGTGAAAAACACAACTGGACTTGCCGTCCTAACGCACTATCACTGCATAATCACCGTCACTTACAACAAACGTATGTTTTGATGCTTGCATAGTCCACAAACATACATATTTGTTAATGCTTGCATGTCCCACAAACCACAAGCATATTTTCTAAGCGCTTGCATGTTTCCGCGCACAACAAATATACGGTTTTGTACATCTGCTTAAATATTTATACACTTGCACACTACGCATCATCCATATACTGGTACATCTATATTCCGAATCTACCCAATAACCATAGTTCCCCACATGCTTACAAACAAATATACAAATTAAATCCATATTAAACATACATTCACAATCATACATATGTTCATATTTACAATTACACATATTTACTAACACAATTCCTGTAACACGACACGGTCGGTCCGCGACTCCCACCAACTTACCCGTATTCCGGTTAGCACTCCGCTCCAGTCGTGCCATATCCAGCGCCAGCGCCAGCGCGCGCTCACCGGCGAATATTCTATTGTTTTTTTTGGCATAAAATTCTTATTTGCACAATTCGTCAACAAGTGATGCGCACTTGTTGGGAACCGGTTATCGGAATATCGAAACTTTGGAGTGTGACCGAATATTAGTCACGGTCACGAATTACAAATAATTTACATTAATTTCGATAATAAAGGGAAAACCGATTGCTACTGGCAGCAGTGATTTTGTCACAACAAAGATTTAATAAAATTAAAAATAAATTAAATATCGGTGGCATTTGTTTCCTTTGGAGTCACATTGCATATTTCAGCGCATCCTGAGGAGTTATTGACAATTTAATAAGGATTTATTGTCGCCGTTGAACTGCCGCCGTCTAATTGTCGCCGTTGCTGCCATTATTATTATTGCTGTTACCTCGCAAGTGTTCAGCGTATCCAGCTGTATTATTGGAATTTACTAAGAGCCAAACCATACTTCCAGGTGCTTTTGTTACGAGCCAGTCGGTTCGTAAGCCACATTGGGACACACAGCGAAGTCGAACTACATATATAGATTCTGCCGCCTCCTCCTCTTTTCTTTGGTCGTGTCCTGTTCTATATTGCCAACAAGCAAGGCGCAGTCCTAAACGCCACTTGTTGCTTTCGGCGCGCATCCGTCCGTGTCCATCCGAAGCGCCTATAGCGCGCCCACTTCTACTTATTGCTTGTCAGGCCTGTGTGGAAGCTCAAAATGCCGAGCGACAATGAGAAGGACTCATTGGAAGTTCCCGTTGTAACGAGAACTAGTCCAGCTACACGTTCAGCTGTTCATATCGCGGCTCAGAAAATCCAAATGGCATTAGATAACTTTATTTCCGTTAGCGATAGCCTGTGCCAATTCGAGGCGCTTTTGGCCTCCTCATCCGCCTCAGATCCGCTTGTCATGCTCAAGACTCGTCTAGACCAAGTCAAGGTCCTTTGGGAAAGGGTTGAGCAAGAACAGCGGTCGTGTTCCAGGGCTCTAACCCAGTTAGAGGCCGGTGTTCCTGACAAGCAGGCGATGCAATCTAGATACGAAAATTGCTATCGCGTCTACGAGCGGTGTGTCTGTCTGGTATCCGGGCAGATTGAACAGGCATCCGCGTCACACAATCCCTCGGCGCCTGCTGTCGAAGCTCGGGGCTTCAATGTGCCACCGGTGGATACCGAGGTGTTCTCTGGCGATTATTTGAAATGGCCTACGTTCCGGGATCTCTTTACGGCCGTGTACATTCGCAATTCGCGTCTGTCCGAGGTCGAGAAAATGTTCCACCTTAACGCCAAAACTAGTGGAGAAGCGAAGGTTATCGTTTCGAGGTCGCCACTCACTAATAGCGGTTTCGCTACTGCATGGAAGGACCTGACTGACCGTTTTGAAAACAAACGGCTTCTCGTCAATAGTCAATTAAAGGTCCTTGCCAACATACAACCAATTTCGTCAGAGTGTGGCGCCTCCATTAAGGAACTTCAGAGCACCATTCAAGGTTGCTTAACAGCTGTGGAAAACGCGAAGATAAGTACCGAAAATTGGGATTGCGGCTTAGTCTTTTTCTGCGCCACCAGACTCCCACAGCAGACCCTTTCTTTATGGGAACAGTCTGTTAAAGACAAGACTGAGATTCCTCCCTGGTCCGATATGAACCAATTCCTGTCAGATCGCTATCGAACTCTCGAAGCGATAAGTGATGTGCGATCGAGCACCAGCGTCCGCGTGCCAAAGTCAGCTCAAAAGGAGCCGGCTGCGAGGAGAGTCAACTCGTTTGAGGCAAAGGTCAGAGTAAAGACGCAGACCTGCAACCTCTGTTCCAGAGAAAACCACCCAATTCGTCTGTGCCCGCGTTTCCTCGCAATGACGGTCAAGGAGCGTTCCGGTGTGATTAAGAAGCAAAAGCTGTGCCTGAACTGCTTCGCCAGAGGGCACCAGCTGAAAGACTGCACGAGTCAGTATTCGTGCTCCACGTGTAAGGGACGCCATCACACGTTATTGCACCGCGGTGCCCCGACTCCACTCGTGCCTCCCACATCAGCTCCTCAGTCGTCACTCCACGATATACAGTCCACTCCTCCTAATGTACAGACATACTTTTCCTCGCACACCCGAGGCGTGCTTTTAAGCACAGCCATGGTCAACATTCGTCACGCGGGCACAATTTACACAGCGCGTGCTCTGATTGATTCAGGTTCCGAGGGAACATTTATTTCAGAGCGCTTACGCAGCAGGCTCCAGCTGCCTTTCAAAAGAATTCGTGCCCAGGTTTCCGGGCTCAATAGAACGGTCTCAGGCCATACCACCAAAGTATGCGCCTTCAAGTTGGTCGCGCCCACTCAGCCGATGGTCGAGATAGATACATCGGCTTTTGTCTTACCACACTTGGCTGGGGATATCCCATCGTGCTCGTTCTCTCAAGAAGCACTGAGAAATCTGCCAGATTTGCCATTGGCGGACCCCACGTTCTACATCAGTTCGCCGGTAGACATGCTCATCGGGGCTGATATATTGCCGGCTATATTTTTGGCTGGATCCAAGTCCAATATATGTGGCTCCCTACACGCTCAGGAGACCGTGTTCGGCTGGATCCTGACTGGTCCGGTGGCAGCCGCTGAACAAACTTCCATCTCATCGTTTGCGACCCGTGTGACTGTGGACAATGAGCCAGCGATTGAGCAATTGCTCACCAAGTTTTGGGAGGTGGAGGATGTCCCAGCCAGCCGGTCCAAGGCAGAAGATCTGGTGTGCGAACAGCTGTTCCAGAGCACGACCAGGAGACAGGCGGATGGAAGATACGTAGTTTCGCTTCCTTTCAAGGATCCGCAAAACATCGAATTGGGCCATTCGAGGTCGATCGCGTTGGCGCAGCTCTTGAGGAACGAGGCGCGTTTACAGCGGAATGCGCCATTGAAGGCGCAATATGACGCGGTCATTAATGAGTACCTGGATTTGGGCCACATGCACCAAGTCCCTCCGCCCACGAGCCGCTGCAATTATTATCTCCCTCACCACGCAGTCATCAAGCCAGACAGCAGCACGACCAAGCTCCGCGTGGTGTTTAATGCTTCCAGTCCCTCATCTAATGGGAAAAGTTTAAACGATGTCCTACATCCTGGACCGGTCCTTCAGTCTGACCTGATCCTGCAGGTACTGAAGTGGCGGTTCTTTCGTTATGTGTTCAGTAGCGACATCACCAAAATGTATCGGCAAATACGAGTCGATCCTGAACACACTCCGTTTCAGAGAATCCTGTTTCGCAATCCAGACGGGGTTTTGTGCGATTACGAATTAGGCACAGTCACCTTTGGGGTAAACTGTGCGCCTTTCCTGGCCATCCGAGTCCTTCAGCAGCTCGCAGAAGACTCACAAGCGCAGTATCCATTAGCCAGCCAAATCGTGAAGGAGTTCATGTACGTGGACGATGTCCTGGCTGGAGCGCATTCAAGGCAGGACACGCTGGCGTCGATTGGGGAACTCCAAAAGGCTTTCGAAGCTGCCGGTTTTCCGCTACGGAAATGGACGGCGAACGAGAAGGGGCTCTTGCGGAGTCTCCCGGCAGAGCATCTGTTGCGGGCCGACTTTTTGGACCTGGAAGAAGCCAGCTTGACGAAAACACTGGGCATTCGCTGGAAGGCCACCACCGACGATTTCCTATTCGTTGTGAATGGCATGGAGAAGGAGGTCCTTTTTACGAAGCGCAAGGTCCTGTCGCAAATCTCAAAACTGTTCGATCCGGCAGGCTGGCTGGCCCCGTTCATCTTACAGTCAAAAATATTCATGCAGGAGGTTTGGTTAAGCGGAATAGGATGGGACGATCCGCTCCCCGCAGAACTCCTGCAACGGTGGTACGAGTTTCTACAGAGCTACCCAGAGCTTGACCAGATCCGGATTCCGAGATGGGTAGATTTCCGCCCTGAATGCCTCTTCCAGTACCATGGTTTCTGCGACGCGTCACAGCGGGCGTACGGAGCCGCACTCTACGTCCGAGTAGAGTTTCGCCAGGAAATCCGAGTCCACCTCCTTACAGCCAAAACGAGAGTGGCTCCAACCAAAACAGTGTCGCTGCCACGTCTAGAATTATGTGGCGCAGTCCTACTAGCTGATATGTGCGCTTCAATCCTGCCACACCTTCCGCTCAGTAGCCTTCCGATTCAGTGTTGGACTGATTCCACCATTGTGCTAGCCTGGTTGCGCAAGCCCGCGTGCAACTGGACCACCTTTGTGGCCAATCGAGTGGCTAAAATTGTCCAAGCCACAAACAAAGATGATTGGCTCCACGTTCGCTCTGAGCATAACCCCGCCGACCTCGCGAGCCGAGGAGTCTCTCCGCAGGACTTAAGAGACAGCGACTTGTGGTGGCATGGGCCGGCCTGGCTCGTGACCCCGAAAGAGAATTGGCCTGCTCAAGAGCAGACCCCACAGGAGACGGACATGGAACAACGCCGCGTCCAAACGCATGTCGCCACACTGGCTTCAGCTCCAGACTTCCTTGAGCGGTTCTCCGACTTTGGGAGAGCGCTCAGGGTCATGGCGTATATCCAGCGTTTTGTGCAGCGCTGCCAGAAGGCTCCCACTCCGTCGACCAAGGAGCTGACACACCAGGAGCTGGTCCGGACCCAGCGGATCTTGACGATTTGCGCCCAAAAGAAGGAGTATCCCCATGAATACGGCGCCTTGTCGAATCAGAAGAGGATATCCTCCAGCAGCTCCCTCCAAAACTTGAATCCGTTTATGGATGATCTAGGTGTCATCCGGGCATGCGGACGATTGTCTTCCTCCGACTCGCTCACCTACGACGAGCGACATCCAATCGTCCTGCCTTACAGCTGTGCCTATTCTCGGCTCCTAGTCCGTTTCGTCCATCGGCTATCCCTTCACAGCGGGAACCAGCTGACCGTCAGCCTCGTCCGAGCGAAGTTTTGGATCCCCAAACTGCGGAATTTGGTCAAAGCCACCATCAACTCATGCAAGGTCTGCGTCGTGTTTAAAAAGCGGCTGCAGACTCAGCTGATGGGCAGCCTTCCG